GGGGATGTAAATCCACTAACCGCCGCTCACCCCTCCACGCCCCTCCACAACTACGGCTGCCCCTGTACCACCCCGCCTTCCCACCGCTTTTTTGCACAGACCGCCGGCCTTTCGCATGCGAAGCACGCACACTGCGAACTAAGCACAGCGGTTGCACATCCCGCCCCTGCACTCGCTTTCCAGCCTGCACATCTATCTTCAGCATCTCCTGCCTCCACCCGCACTTTCAGCCCACATATTTCCACATCCACTTTCCACCCGATACTTCATCACGCACACCATTTCACTATCCTGCACTTCCTGCCGAGGCAACGTTGCCGGACTTTCCTGGCACGTCGCCAATCGACTTTTCCTCCTTGCGCTACGAAATAGTGCTGCCAGAGATGGCAGACGCCTCTTTCGGGCGCAAAACGCACCGGCCGAGCCGAGGTGTAGTTCTTGCCCCAACTATCCGCCCGACCTGATCCAGTTGTGATTTATCGATGTTCGCATACTGGCACCCAAATGCTTTTTGCTGTCCAGGCGTTATGTGTGACGAATTTCAAATTAAAGGGTCACAAAGTTCCAGACTAGTACGCTTACGAAATCCATGGGGTTCATTTACATGGAATGGACCGTGGAGTAACTCATGGTCAGGATGGGATGAGCGAAGTCGTCGGATATTATTGCCGGAAGGCACTGAATCTGGAGCATTTTGGATGCCTTTCCAAGACTTCATGTTGCGATTTGATTCTGCAAGTTTACTGTCTTAGTTTTTTTCTTTTATGAAAACGTGCAGTTAGAAGCTCTTTTCTTGTGATTTTTTTTGTCTTATGGCTTTGTGTTTTTTTTTGTCTTGTGGCTTTCTCGACCCTCGGGCATGAGAAAGTAGTTGTTAGGCTGAAGCACTGAGCTGAGCTTACAGCAGTCGTGTGCTGTTTATTTCCCTTAATTCTCTCGCACTTTTCAACACACTGAACTAGAATTAGGTGTCGGAAAAACGTTGGGTCGATGATTTCATCTCGTAAAAATTTCCAGGTAGAGGTGGCGAAAGTTCGGGCAGCGCAGGGATGGAAGGAACTTCGGGTTGATTGTCCAATATCATCTTTTTGGGGCAAAGAAAATGTCACGTAAGTTCATTTCTATTTTCTTCATCTGCTTTTAATTGGTATTTCACTTTTTTTGTAGGATTTTCTTGCTATTCGAAGCACATAGTTTTGTTGGCTTTGATCAACTATCGTTTCATCGTAGTGCACCTACTGGCCGTCGATACAGCTGACAGTAGTTTCATATTTTGGCTGAAATTGCATCATTGTTTTGGTATGCAGTCGGCTGTGCTTCTGACGTTCGTTCCTCTGCGATGCTTTTTTCTGGAATGAGATGCCAGACGTTTTACATCCCCCTCTCACTAATTCTTTTTTTTTTCAGCCCTCATGTTAGTTACCTCCATTTCCTAATAGGCATCATCTAGAGGCGAATATGCCATCTCTTAGTTGTTCAGGAGTCCCAAGCCTACTCGGCTTTCAAAGCACTAATACGCTGAACCACACTGAAGGTGTTTCGAAATAAAAATTTCCGAGTTCTTGCACGGACATTTGATGGACAGTTGTTTCAGAATTTTGATATGACCTGGACAGGCGGGATTTCTGGTGCTGTATTACCAACG